CCATTTGTCCATCGATGGGTATTTGAGTCGTCCCCACTTGTAAGTACTAAGAACACTGCCATGGACACTGGTGTGCAAGTCTGCACTCCTGCTTTAGATCTCATCTAGCGGGCAACTGGTGGGTCTGGAGGCAATCCTGTGCAGGGGTTTTTTACTTTGAATTTTGAATTTTTATTGTTTTTTTATTAATCTCTAGCTGTTTTCCACAATGACCATGCCATTTGACTTTCCTACCAATGGTGTCGAAGGTTCTAGTTTCCCCACATCCCCACATCTCTTCGCTGGGAGTTTGCTGTGGAACAATCCTTTCCTACACTATGAATATGTATTACGCTCACTGGTTAATAAACAGCTGACAGGCCAGTAGCTGGGCAGGAAGTTAGGCAGGAAAGCCAAACTGAGAATGCTGGGAAAAAAGGAGGGAGGCGTCAGGAGTCACCAGCCAGGTGCAGAGGAAGCAAGATGAGAAAGTCATACTCAGAAAAGGTACCAAGCCAGGTGACTAAACATAGATAAGAATTATGGGTTAATTTAAGTGTAGGAGCTAGTTAGTAATAAGCCTGAGCTATTGGCCAAACATTTATAAATAATATTAAGCCTCCAAGTCAATTATATGGGAAGTAGCTGCTGGATATTTGGGAGTTACTAGTGGGACAGAAATTTGCGATTACATGTGGTGTTCCAACATGTGGCTGAAATTTCCACATAAAACCTGTGATTAAGAGTCTCATGAGCTACCAGCCAAGCATGTATAATTAATACAAGCCTCTGAGTGATTATTTGGAGGCAGTTGTGGGACTGAGCTGGACAGAAAAAAGCCCCCATTACAGGAGTTAGTATGTTTGTTTGCTTTTGGTAAGGGGTATACGCTTGAGATTTGGGTTGAGGATTCAAGGCCCCTGAAGGCCTTTTCACAGGATGCTAACTGCCGTTGAGTTCTGCAGATCCCAGTCTGAAAGCCCAGCCTGGCCTTTGTACGCCTACAGTGCCAAGGCTGGCATTGGAGCAGTGCCTGCTTTGACTCCATTCTGAGAAGTAAGCAAGGTGATCAATTTCAAATTGGAGGCAGGACCAGTGGTGGAAACAGATGCCTCTGTGTGAGGGCAGGAATGCAGAGCCCTGGTGGAGACCAGCCTTCCTCTCCTCCTGAGGAACCATCTCCCTCTCTTCTCTTCCCTTCTCTCCTACCTCTTCCCACCTCTCTGCCTCCTTCTCTCTCACACACAGGCAACTCCAATAAGACATCATCTTCCTGTTCTCCCTTCAGGTCCCCAAATCCAACATACTGGTAGAAGCCATCTTAGTTGAAAACCTTTTAAATCCATAGGTGCTTCTGATGGGCTGGGTTTCTCTCACAATTTAAAAAAACAATCAGTGGCCAGAGCTTATTATCCTGACACGCCTTTAGTCTCAGCACTATGGAGGCAGAGGCAGGTGGATCTCTGTGAGTTCAAGGCCAGCCTGGTCTATATAGAGAGTTCCAGGCCAGCCAGGGCAACACAGTGAGACCCTGTCTCAAAAACAAAACAAAACAAAACAAAACAAAAAACAAAAAACAGTGAAAGTCATCAGGGCTCCTGATTTGGGAATCAGGAGTTTGGGGATTCCTTCAGGGACAGAGCCTCAGAGCTTGGTCTGCACTCTGCTCTATCAACACTAAACCCACAGCTAGGAGAGGGCGAGGCTCTGCCCAGGGCAGTGCCTGCCAAACCTCCAGCCAACTCTCTCCAGATCCAGGGGAATGCTAACATTGTCTCTGGCTGTGCCTCCTGCGCCTAGGAAGGAAGGTGACTGTCCTTGGGATGGAGGGTGACTGTCTTCTCATAGGAAGGTCATTTGAGTCACCTCCCAGGAGGAGCTCTGGCTCTTCCCTTCATGACTTTGTGTAGAGACATGTATGGTCATACACACGCATGTGCTTTAATGTGTTTTAATCTTTACACACGGCATCTTGTCCTGCTTCTTGCCTTCTCCCACCTAACTCGGCACATATAAATAGACTTCATTTATTTTTTAATTAGCTTTTAAATTAGGTTTACTTATTTGATTTTGTGTGTAAGGGGTATTTTGCCTGCATGTATGTGTGTCTGTGCAACTGTATACCTGGTGCCCACAGAGGCCAGAAGAGGGCGCTGTATCCCCTGGGACTGTAGTTGTGGACAGTTGCGAGCTGCCATGTGGGTACTAGGGGTCAAGCCTGGATCCTCTGGAAGAGCACCCAGTGCTCTTAAAGGCTGAGCCATCTCCCAGGCCTCTGTACTTGAATCATTTTAAGGATCTGGTTTTTATTTATGGGAGCAGGGTCTGCATGTGAGTGCGTCACATGTGTGCAGGAGCCCTCAGAGGCCAGAGAGGGCACCAGGTCCCTGAACTGGAGTTACAGGACGTTGTGAGCCGCCAGGTCCTCTGCGAGAGCAGCAAGCACTCTCAGCTGCCTCAGCCATTTGCCTCGCTCATCTGAGTGACTGAACGTTATTCCATCAGGGGGATGCTCCATTGCCGTTTATTTTAACTAGTTGGTCAGTAACGGCCAAGATGTCAATAATCATGTCAATGTCAGTAATCCCCTAATTAGAATATAACCGTCGGGCGCAATCTTCTGTCTCCAGGTGCTCTCAGGCAGGACTGTCCTACAAATGAAAGCCAACCAGCAGTTACTGAAGCAAAGATCGCCTCTCCCTGACCACATGTAGCTGGCCCTCCATCCCTGGTTGCCTCTGCTGGAGCCCTGCTCATGGCCAGCTGAGGGGCCTCAGCACCCTCAGCTTCCTCTTCTTCACCCGTGTTTCAGCAGAGACACAAATGAACTCTTAACCAAGCAAAGGGCTTCATCTCCGTTCTTCCTTTAACAACCTTTAACAACGGTCCTGGGTTCAGCAGGGCACACCGTCTCCATCCCCTGGGCAAGCCCTCAACTTAGAGCAGTTGGCTGCTTAAGAAGCTCCCCATTATCTCTCCACACAGCTCCCCACAGGAGCATCTGGGCAGAGTCATTAAAAGCCAGCACGTCCCGGAGAACAGTTTCAAGGGTTACTAATAGTGTTCACAGACTGTTGAGTTGGGATAGAGCCATATGCCAGACACACTCTTCGTAATCCTTGCCAGGTTTCTCCAGGCAGTCAAAACTACATCAAGTAGATGATGACTGAACCTATTGTAGACCCTTTGGTTGGGAGAAATTGCTTCAGTATGAGGCTTTCAGCCCAAACAGACCAACCAATTTCGTGACTGGGTGAGCTTCGAGGGGCAGCCTCTCTCTCCAAGCAGATGCTGTCATTCCATCCTGATAACACTGAGGATGGTCACCTCAGGTCTTGGTGTGGCTTCTTGTACCTCTGAATCTACCCAGCTTCCTGCAGTCATAAAAAAAAAAAAATGACCACATGGAGGAGCAGAGAAAAGAAACACATGGCTTCCAGATGCCCCCACATCAGGAAGGATGTTCCAGATGAGAGGAAGCGGGCACGGTGGGAGGAGATCAAGGTACGGAAAAGAGGCTAAAATTAGTCTTATCTCTCAGCCGATAGCATACAGGACTTTTAAAGCAGTCATTTTTATTGATATCGACTGTGAGAATTATCTTCTGGACTACTAAGACATTTACAGCTGAATTGGGGGACCAGGGCACCCACATGTGTAAGATGGACAATAATACAAGGAAGCGAGGGGTTGAGATTAGGTAAACGTTCAGTGTGGACTCGGGTGGAGCCCTCAATGAGACAACAACATAGAGCTTCCAAACATAAGCCATTCTTGGTGGGGGTCCAACCTGGACCCCTCTACTGCCCTGAAGCTTTAGTGTCTCCACCCACTGGGCATGGAGGGTCCTCTCCAAACATCTCCCTGTGCCTCTGCCGTCTCCCCTACCTCGACACAGCTGTTGAAGAGGGTGGCTTCTCTTCTCTCATCTGCATCCCATCAGCCCTCTCAAATCCATCCAGAAAAGGAGCCCTGCAAACAGACGAGACAGGATCAAGTGAAAATGTGGTTATCACCTACTTAAGGCACCAAGGGTAGCTTGGGGAGCAAAGCGTGAAGACTGTATATGAGGCTCTAGAAAGTTCTTTCTTCCCGGGACCTCTGGAGGAAGTCAGTGTAGCCATGGCCATAGAGAAGCTAGAACAGGAAGCCGGCGGTGGGGATGGTGGAGCCTGGAGGATCTGAGCTGGCTTGCTTCATTTATTTATTCACTTGACCGGTGTTTGCATGCTTTCCTCTGGATGGCTTGCTTCGGACCAGGCTGTGGACCCCTTTTCAATAAAGAGCCGGCCTGGTACGGCGCGTCTCATACCTTGCTGTCTGTGCCGCAGAGATAAAGGGCTGGTCTGGCAACACAGTCTCTGAGGAAAATTAAACATAAAGTTGATGGTGTTCAGCACCATCAATGTTAAAATATAAATGTCTACAAGCCCCTCACAAGTAAATTTTAAAAAAATAAAAATAAAAATAAGAGCCAAGCAGAGGTGCCGCACGCCTTTAATCCCAGCACTCGGGAGGCAGAGGCAGGCCGATCTCTGCAAGTCTGAGGCCAGCCTGGTCTACAAAGTGAGATCCAGGACAGGCACCAAAGCTACACAGAGAAACCCTGTCTTTAAAAACAAAACAAAACAAAACAAAATACAACAAAAAAGAAAGAAAAGAATGTTCTTAAGCGGGTTGGGGACAACACGCTCAGTGTTACCGAGAAAGCCTTGTCCCTGTAACTCGTGTCCATGAGACTCTGTGTGTGTTTCAACAAATATTTCCCTGTATTGGTCCACAAGGCCGTGCACCCCAGGATTCAGTCCCTTGGAGCTTCCTTCCAGGGAGCGTCTTTACAGAGTACAGGGACTATCGAGGAGCGTGGGGGAGCGCCTGGTGTGGTGCCTTCTGTCCTCTCCAAGCCTGTACCTCAGGGAGAAGAGACCCAGGCAGGGCCACCTCACCTCCTAACTAAAGGCAACTGCTCCTGGGAGTTTATGGTCTGGTCCTTTTCAGTTTCTCGTGTGTCACTTTTCTAGGGGCTGCATGGGCCAGGCGTCTGGACACGGGCCAAGAAGCCGAAGCCTGTTGAAGCCACACACTCCACTCTTGGACTGACACCAGCGGCCACCCAGCCCTGCCAGGCCATACGGCCTCTCGTTTGCCTGATGTATGAGGTGGGTAGCAAGCTTTTCCCTCAGAAGAGGACTCCGAGGGATCAATTACTTAAAGTCCATAAACATGTATCGTTATAATTCTTATTCCAGTTTCTACTCAAAGCTGAAATGGCCAAGAGGAGAGAAAATAGCGAGCTGGGTTCCCCCCGAAGGCAGCTCCCTCTACCTCTCCGGTATTTCCGGTCTGGTGGGAGACTTGTCCCCAGAGCCCTGGGTTTGTTTGACACGGAGTCACAGTTGGCACATTTGAGAATGACGGGCCAAGAACCCAGCTGAACCCTGGACAAAACTAGGATCTAGGTGTTCCTATACCTTGCTCTAGTAGAGCAGACACCCCCAGTGAGACCCAGAAGATGTGTGCAGGCAGCAGGCTATAAGCTTCCCCTTCAAGATCTTTGGGGGCTTGGCAGGAGGTGTAAGTGGCCGGCAAACAGAGTTTGGGTTTGAAGGGTGTGTGTTTAAAAACACTGCCTTGTGGACGTTTTCAGCGAGCACAAGTTTTCTGTGTGTGGACTGTACTGGTTAAACAGTACCTCTCCATCTACCACTCACACTCCCTCATGAGAGTTCCTCAAGGGACGCTTACCCATGATTCCTGTCACTCTGAGGCTGAAACTACCCCCACCCCCTCAACCCCCCACCCCCGGCCTCGCTGCAGCCTCCCTGTGGTCAGCACGATCCATCATACGTCTATCCTTCTCCCAGGTCTACCCCAAACAGGCAAATGGTCGTTCTCACTTTCCAATCCCAGGGTACATTCACCAGCTTGGCTTCCCCTTGTGGGGGCTCCCATAGGTGGCCGACATCCGGAGGTGCCCATCATGTGCAGGGGGCTAAGCTGTCCCACCTTACCAGTAGGAGCCCTCTCCTGCTTAGCCGGGGAAAGTCAGGACAGAAACAGAAGGAATAGCAGCCATGCCTGGGGCCATGTTGAAGCAAGGTACTTCTGTGACATTGTTTAAACCCTCGGTTTTTAAACATTTGTTCAATATTTACTTAGATGAAAGGCCCAGTTCTCTAAATAAATAAATGGAGGGCTCAGCAGGAGGAAAGGCCCCAGGGCAGGTAGCTGCAGCCTCCCCAGAGTCTCCAGAGAATACATTTCTGGCAAGAATTTGTACCACCTCTCAGCAAAACAAAAGCCCCACAACTAATCTCACCCACCTGCCAGACAAGGCTCTGGAGTGGACTGGGCAAGGGTCTACCTCCTGACTCCAGGTGTTTCCAGATGCCACACTTCTTCCCTGGCCCCTCCCCACCCCCCTGGGGGTGACTATGGGGCAAGAGGATCCCATCTCCTCTCACTAATGGTTTGGACCACTCAGCTGGACCACCCTGACTGAAGATGTGGCTTCTTTTCAAGTGCACGGGGAGGCCCAAACGCTCAGCTGTTCTTGTAGGGGGAAGCTCTGTGTCTGCCCCTCCCCCGTCCCACCGGAGCTCTCTGGAGCTGCATGGCACATCTGATGGAACATGACCTGCACAGTGCATGAGAGTCAGGAAGGAAGCTTGTGGTTCTTTGGGTCTCATAAGCGCTGTCCTGGCTTCCTCCCCTGATCCTCCCCTTCAGATCTTCCCAGTTACCCTTCTGGCCTTTACAGCGCTACTTTTGATACAAAAACCACCCCCTCCCCACCCCCACAGCTTGCTAAACTTTGTCCTTGGCCTCCTCCATCGTTTCCACGAAGGCAACTTGAGCTGCATGGAAAAAGTAGCTTTTTGACATGCAGTCGTATGCTCTTCCCTTGCCTCTTTGGGGCAAGGCCCACAGCTGTAGCTCAAAGCTGCCCCTTAGAACACACCCAGGAGGCGGAAGAAAGGCTGGGGTGGAGCAGAGAATGTGTTCACAGAACCTTCTAAACTCTTGGCGGCACTGGGCTGAGAGTTCTAGAATAGACAAGAATCGATGTTTCCAACTCTCGCTGCCTGAGAACGTGCAGCCTGAGGTGTGTGTGTGTGTTGGTGTGTGTATGTATGTGTTGTGTTTATTCATATGTATACATGGGAACTATATATGACTTTTAAGGAAAGTATTTCTGAGACCGATGGCATCATAATGAATCAGGACTGTGCAGAATGGAATTCACTAGGAACCATGTGCACCCCATTCAAAGCATTAGGCAACTGTGGTTGCTAACACGCTCCCTCTCAGAAAGCAGGGACACGTCAACAATGATCTTTCCCTCCTGTTTTAGTTCTACAATGAAATTAAATACTTGGGCAGTTGCCCTGGGCCTTATCACCTATGGTGGCCATGATCCCAGGGGGCCCTGGGCCCCTGACACGCACCTGTGATCCTAGCACTAGAGGGGCAGAGACCAAGGCGGCATCCCTGAAGACTGTTAGCCAGGCTAGCAGAAGAGATGAGCGCCGGTGCAGTGAGAGACCCTGCCTCAAAGAGTATGAGGAAGGAAAACTATGGAGAACTGTGGCATCAATCTCTGGTCTCCACACATGCACATCCATGTGAACACATGCATACACACACCCATGTGTATACACCCATATATATACCCACACACACACCCATGTGTATACACCCATATATATATACCCCACACACATACCCATATGTATACACCCATATATATACCACACACAAGGAAGAGAGACATTTTGTTACGATGTTTTATCAGTATCGATGATTATAACTTAGTATGTTGGAAGTTATTTTTCTTTGAAGGGCTATACAAAATATGTGAGTATTTGTTCCACTACTTAAGCAAACAAAAATATACACAAAAAATAGGGTTTTTCGTTTATTAAGACTTATTATTTATTTATGCGTGTGTATCTGTGTGTATGTGCATGTGGTGCAGATACCTCCAGAGGCCAGAAGAGGGCATCAGATCAGATCCCCTGGAGCTAGAGGGGCTGGCAGTTGGGTGCTGCAGGCCTTGGGTGCTGGGAGCTGAACTCAGGTTCTCTGTAAGAACAGCGGGTGCTCCTAACACAGAGGCAGCTCTGCAGCCCTGCCTGATTGTTGTTTTGTATTGGTGTGTGTGTGTGTGTGTGTGTGTGTGTGTGTGTGTGTGTGTGTGTGTGTGTATGTAAGAGAGGGGGGGTGTATTAAAATCAGGGCTTCTCAAGGGCTAAGCAATGCTATGTATCTCCTAGTCCCCCAATCTCTTTTCATTGGATTTAACATTACTCTGTTAATTTACTGTGGGAGTTTTAATTGCTTCCAATGTTTGTCCCTGCCTAGTGGAGGTTACTGAGCTGTTACTTTAAGTATATCTCTGGAAGCTTCCAGGGTTTTCATTCTGCCCTGAAGCCTACATCCCTAAGGCCAAGGTAGTAAATAATACATTCCTGGCGGGGAAAATCTAGGTTTTGAATGCCTAGAAGGCCAATACTCACAAAAACAGTGGGCTGGGTTACATTTAACCGACCAGCTTCCCCTTTCCCTTGCTTGTCCGTGATAAGCTGGGAATAACTGGAGCAGAGCAGAAAGATCTGCAGCCTTTGGGACAGAAGACACCATATTTTTTTCCCACTCACTATTACTTTAAATTTTATTCTAATCCAGTGCCAGCCTTTTCTGTCAGTGTTTAGATGCCCTCTGCACAGCCCATCCCAGACCAGTCAGTAAAATGCAAGTGATTGTCAAGTCGGGGGTGTGGATAAAAGGAAGCAACCACTCTCTATCCAGACAGAACAGCTTTTCAGTTCACTCTCTAAAGAAGTTGACAAGTTGTGAGATATTTCGGAGAGGCCATAATGCAGAAAAGTAATACACCTCGGTGCCTCAAATTATGAAGCTTCTAAGTCTTTTGTCTTTAAAGGGAGCAGCGTGCTTCCAGAACTTGGCTTTCAGAGTTCCTTTTGGAGCCTGAAAGAGTGGATCACAGCGCCATCCAGTGGACATCAGCGGTTTAACGGTTGGCGCCAAAGAGGAGGAAAACACATTTAAATGCTGTGTTTCACCTTCCTTCCATTCACTTTGCGTTTTTTTTTTTTTTTTTTAAACATCTTTTAAATTAGGGTGTATCTGTAGCTGACAGCATGTCACAATTTAAATCATTTCTTTATCGGTGATCCTTCATCCAACAACTGACTCCCAGTTTCACCAAAATACAACTTTTATTGTACTTTGTGGGGTACCATTCCTTCAGTCATTTTTCAGGGACAGTTACTGAATATCCACTTGGTGTCTGGGACTCTTTGATTTATTGTGTGTTAATCACTGCATATGTTTTTGTTCAATCACATTCAAGCTCTTGATCACGATTTCTTCGGTGATCCGTCGGTGTTTGTGAGAAATAACTCCATGCATTTACAGATCCATCACCGTGGGCTTTCCTTTGGCCTTAAAGGCTGTATCATTTGACTCAGAGAATGGTGCTCACCTGAAAAGGGAAACCCAGGTAGAGTCCTCACCCCTGACTGCACGTTAGAGTCCCCTTCAGGGATTCCTAAATGATCATTTTCTCAGAGATCTGACATGAGGTCTAGGAGCAAGGCCCAGACATTCCGAGGCACCTACTGTGTGCTGGCGTGAATTTTCTCCTTCGTTATGGTCAGATTCATGCCAGGTTGTATAGTTGGCAGTCAAATGATTAGGCATGTCTGTTAAACAGTTAGTGGAAAACTTCGTATTTCAAAGTACAGAGCTCTTGGCTGGGTGCTGTGGTGTACATCTATAATCCCAGCACTTGGAAGGTGGAGGCAGGAGGGTTAGGATTTGAACGGCCTCCCAAGTCCAGAGTGAGTTTGAGGACAGCCTGAGCTATTTGAATCCCTGTATCAAAACATGAAAAAGTAGACAATTCTAATTTCTTATGAGAAAGACGTTTAAGGATGTAAAAACTACTCTGTGAGTGTTCATGTATGTGTACGTGCGAGTGTGTGTGTGTGCATGTGCACGCGCATGCACTTGAGGCTGTGTGTGTGCATTACAGTGGGAGCCGTCTTGAGTGACATTCCTCAGGAGTCATCAACCTTTCTTTGAAAATAATGTTTTCACTAATCCTTTGGTAATTTCATATTTGAACTTCTTC